GAGCGTTGTCCATGGAGGGGGGTCCCGAGGACAGAGTTTCTGTCGAGCTCCACGATGCCAAAATGTCACAGTCTATGCTGTTTACCTTCTAGTCTTTAACTTTGCCAAACGAGCTACCGTTGCTTTGAACAGTCCAAGGAAATGTTAGCCTGTGTCAGCAGAAACGAATGCTCTGGGCATGGTCTCTGCTGGGGGTGCTTTCACGCTGGGGATACGAGCGTTCTGGGAGAAGAATCAAGGAATCTGGGAGCGCGGGGTAACGCCCTTCCCCACACACCAAATGTTTGCTACTTGGCCTTGGCAAATCCAAACTGAACGACAATGTGCCTTTCGGACCGTCCTTATCTCAACCTTGTCTGCGACACCGGTCCCACGACAGGTTAGTGCCTATGCAAAGCCGGGTGGTCACAGGGTCCTGAGGACAGCTGTGGCACCGATGGGGAGAGGTGCCCTGGTCCCCAGCGGGACGCCCCGCCATGGCGCAGCGCCCTGCCGCAGGGCTGAAGGCAGCTGAGGGATGCTCAGCGAGGGGAAGCTGTCCTGGCAGGGGTGCTCTTGCCTAGGGCAATAGGATGTGGGGGCCGGTGCCCCCCCAGGAGGAAAAAAACATCTGAGGATGCTCCGAGAGGGGGTCTGGCACCGAGCATCCACAGAGGGTGCAGGAGATGAGCCACGGCGGCGGGTGCTGTGCTCGCTGCCCGCTGGCTCCAGGACGGCTGCTCCCTCCAGAGCCCTCGGCGAAGCTCACGTGCGTTTCTCCGTGCGGGGGCTTGCTCCTGCTTCCTGGCCGGGCAAAGGGTCGCTGGGCCTGGGCTCGCACCCAGGGGCGCAGGGATCCTGATGGTGGGCGGCTTTCCTCCATCACCCATCCCTCCCAGGCGCGTCCTCTCCCAGTAGCGGCAGGACTCTGCTGTCACCACTTGCTATTGTGCCTTTTGCTCACCAGCTGGTTCGATTCCAAAGGTCTGAGGATGGTGAAAATGATAATCCAGACATTTTTCTGATCTTCGTCTCCTCCTGCGCTCCTTCCCAGCCCCTTCCCAATTTCGTGTTTCAGGATCTCGGCTCTCCCAGCAGCGCTGGGGTAGCTGAGCGAACGGTTCCTGTTGGCGTTTGCCTCTCAAAGGCACATTATGGGAGTGATTCGCTGTAAGCGTCTGTGGGCAGGGGTTGCAAGCCGGGGCAGACCCCGATTACCAGCCAGTACCGTTAGTACTCAAGGTCTACCTTTTTTTCTTTCCTTTTTTTTTTCTTTTAAGTTTGCTGCTATGGGTTGGAGTGTTCAGCCGTGTCCCAGCCAGCCAGTTAAAGGTTTGTCACTTGTCGTCATCTGAGGGGTTTCCAATGTGGAATGTCCTGCGGTATTTGTATATTGAATGGATATTTTCTCCAGGCATAATCGGGTTAAGCATACGTCTTGTTTTCCATTGGACTGGCAGAGGTGGCCAATTCAGCCACTGGCCCTAGAAACTTAGTCTATTTTTATATATATATTTTGTACCAAAAAAACTGGAGTGCGTGGAGGGATGGGGATGGTTCAGGGGGGTCCAGCCGGCTTCGAGTTTCTGAGCTGGGCGTGAAGGGCTCCAGAGCCAGAGAGGAGGTTTTTAACTGGAAGAAATTGAGGGATGGGTGAAAACAAACAATTGTTCCTGTGACTTGTGCCAGTCACTGCGCTGATTTGTATGTTTTAATTAAAGCGAGAGCCAAATCGGTCCTGTATGACACTTACAATTGCTTTAAGCTACAGCTGTTTGTTTGCTTTTATTTTCAGAGAACAAAAGTTGGAGATGTTATTACCCTGGGAAAGTTTAAGGGCTTTGTTGAGCAGGACAGGCGCCCAGCCCGCCGGGCGACGCGGGGCTGCGGGGCCACGGCCCCCAGTTGCCCTCCCGGCCCCTCGCTTGCGTTGCATGCGGTGTGGCAGAGTCCTGCTGGCCCACAGCACAAATGCAGACACCAAAACT